TAAACACTGGAAGTTTTTTTGATTCATTAACAGTGTTTTAATGGATTATATACTATGGGCTAGAAAGAATTCTATCTCAGACTTCTTGCATTTTTATTGAAGTATAAAGATAGGTCACTCTGAGCATGAACATGGAAATAAGACACATCATTATACATCTAACAATTTAATATCTAGAATCTGAACTAAAAAAAATCAAGGAAAAAAAAAACTATTTCAAAAAATGGACTTGGGGCCTGAACAAAGAGAGTTCTTTTTTTTCTCCATTTTTTATTTAAATTACAAACAAGATTGTTTTATATGTCAATCTCAGTTCCCGCTCACTCCCCACCTCCTCTGTACCCCACTAACACCCTACCTATCCCATACCATTTCTGCTCCCTAGGGAGGGTGAGGCCTTCCTTGGGGGCTATTCAGAGTCTGTCATATCCTTTGTGATAGGGCCTAGGCCCTCCCCTGTGTATCTAGGCTGAGGGAGTGTCCCTCTATGTGAAATGGGCTCCCAAAGTCCATTCCTATGCTAGGGATAAGTACTGATCTACTACAAGAGGCCCCATAGATTTCTCAGGCCTCCTCACTGACACCCACATTCATGGGGTCTGAATCAGTTCCATGCTGGTTTCCCAGTGATCAGTCTGGGGACCAAGAGCATCACATTATTCAGGTCAGCGTTTCTGTGGGTTTCACAAGCCTGGTATTGACCCCTTTGCTCGTCACTCCTCCTTCTCTGCAACTGGATTCCAGTTCAGGTCAGTGTTTAGCTGTGGGAATCTGTTTCTCCTTCCATCAGCTGATGGATAAAGGCTCTAGGAAGGCATATAAGTTAATCATCAATCTCATTATCAGGGGAGGGCATATAAGGTAGCCTCTCCACTGTGGCTTAGATGGTTAGGTGGTGTCATCCTTGTAGATCTCTGGACATTTCCCCAGTGCCTGATTTCTCTTCAAACCTATAATGGCTTCTTCTCATATGGTATATCTCATTTTGCTCTCCTCTATTCTTCCCCATACACAAACTTCATGCTCCCGTATGTCCTCCTCATCCCTCTTCTTCTCCCCTTCTCATTCTTCTAGCTCCCTCTCCCCTCCCCCCATTCTCCCAATTTACTCAGATCTTGTCCTTTTTCCCTTCTCTGGGAGACCATGTATGTCTCTCTTAGAGTCCTTCTTGTTTCCTAGCTTCTCTGGTGATGTGGATTGTAAGCTGGTAATTCTTTGCTTTATGTGTAAAATTCATATATCAGTGAGTGCATACAATGATTGTCTTTGTGGGACTGGGTTACCTCACTCAGCATGCAGATTTCAAGATTCCATTGTTGTTTTTTTTTTTCCCAACAGAGGGCTGATCTTCAAAATTTAAAAAGAACTCAAGAAGTTAGTCTCCAAAACACCAAATAATCCAATTAAAAAGTGGGGTACTGAACTAAATAGAGAATTCTCAATACAAGAATCTAAAATGGCTGAAAGACCCATAAGAAATTGTCAACATCCTTAGCTCTCAGGGAAATGCAAATGAAAACAAATCTGAGATACCATCTTACTCCTGTCAGAATGGCTAAAATCAAAAACACCAATGATAACTTATGCTGGAGAGGATATGGAGAAAGGGGAACACTCCTCCACTGCTTGTGGGAGTGCCAACTCAAATGGCCACTTTGGAAATCAGTATTGCGATTCCTCAGGAAAATGGGAATCAGTCTACAACAAGATCCAGCAATCCCACCCTTAGGTATTTACCCAAAAGAATCACATTCATACAACAAGGGCATCAGTTCAACTATGTTCATTTTAGCATTATTTGTAATAGCCAGAACCAGGAAGCAACCTAGTTGCCCCTCAACTGAAGAATGGATAGAGAAAATGTAGTACATTTACACAATGGCATACTACTCAGCAGAAAAAAAAAAACAGGAAGAGTTCTTAAAAGAAGAAAAAGTGGCTAAGAAATATTTCGAATTATGTTCTTCTTCCCTAATAACTAGGTGAATGCAAACAAAAACAACTTTAAGACTTCTTCTTACACCTGTCAGACTGCCCAAAATCAAGGAAATAACCAAGACCAAAAGTAGAAGGGTATACAAGGAAAGCCTCATTCACTATTAGTGGGATCGCAGACTGTTGAAGCCACTATGGAAACCACTGTGGAGAACACTCAAAAATCTAAAAATATAGCTCAGCTATACCACTACTTCACATATGCACAAAGGCCTCAAAATTCTACTCCATAGATATTTACTTAGCCATGTTCAATGCTGCCCTATTTAGAATATCTTGGAAACAGGAAATGCCTAAATGTCCCGCAACTGATGAATGGATACTAAAAATGTAGTGTATATATCTTATGGACTGCTACTCAGCTGTAAAGAAAAATGAAATCATGAGTTTTGCAGATAAACGTATGAAAGTAGAAAAAGCATATTTAGTAAGATAACACAGACTCCAAAAGACACATTTCACATGTTCTTTCGTATATGAGGCTACTAGCCCCAAATTTTCAGATGTGAGTACATATCTTACAGTAACCACAGAAACTATGAAGCGAAAAGCGACTATTGCTGGGGTAGGAAAGTGGAGAGAAATGGAGTGTGGAATAATGGGGCATAAGTGATCTGATTGGAGAAATAAGAAAGGGGAGCTATAGTTAATGATGGGAAGAGATAAATTCAGAAGAATAGAGGAGTGTAAAACAACAGTAAGGACATCTGAAAAGTTATAAGGAAGCATACTCTTAATTATTCACCTAAAAAGAGCCTATAGTACACATAATCTGTGTATAAACATATACATATAGTTTAAATGAAATTTTCTCATCTGGTCTGGCAATGCTTCCTCTAAGAGCCAAAAACCACCTAAAAAAAACACATCATCACCCATGAGTAACTGCTTTTAAGTTGTTGGGTAGGGTTTCCAAAAGACTCCCCAAAATATGCAAGCTGTTATTATTGCCCTTGGTTTGTCCCAGAGGTTAAGCTAAGTTCCAATTCCTGAAGACATCATGTACCACATAGGGGTTTAGAGGGCCCTGAGCTGGAACCTACATGAATGACTATTCTCTAAGCACTGCCTTTCATGGTACCAGAAGGCACTATGAAAGATTCCAAAAGACAGAAGCAACCAACAGTTCTTCCCATCCATGACACCTATAAACCAAAGTATTTCAAGGGAATTAAGATTCACTAGACTCATTACAGGTTAAGTGAAGTGTATTCTGTGAGAAACAAGAAGCAGGTGACCGCCGCTAGTTCCAGCTCCAAGAATTCACCCAGGCTGCCCTCTGTGACCTGACTGGAAGCAAGGGAGCGCCAGCCACCTGTCCTGACCCCAGACCTAAACCCACCCCGCATATCTGCACCTATGGAATGCCCAAAGGGGCATTGTCAGCGCTTACAGGTGTGGATGGGGTGATTATATCACTACAATTCCCCTTTTAGTCTAAATAAAAAGATTTAGGCTTGATACAAAGCTATATACAAAGATAGTAAATATCAAGTATCAACTAGGAGAAGGAATTGTAAGAACAGACACAGTTAAAACCTATTGCCCGTGAAGCAGCTAGAGCAAAAGGCAAGAACTACATATCCAGTCCTAGGATAAAGGCATAACAGAGATTACTATAGAGTTGTCTTAAACTGGAAAGTCTTGTACCTAATATTTCTATCTAGGAAGAGAGAACAATAATTGTGACAGTCTAATCTTCAACCTCATCAAAGACCTGAGAAGGAGGATAATAATACTAGGGTAGGCAGGAAGTACAGGCTGCCAAAAAGTGCGGTGAAGACAGGAACAGAAGACTACCTGGACAGTCACCCAGAGTCTCACAGCAGCACAGGGGCAAACAGCTTTGGCTAAGGCTGGACTAGCTGACTGACCAACACAGAAGCAGGGAAGTAGAAAGGCTGTCTTAACCTGAGATGTCAAGGTTCATTGGTCTTTTAAGTTTATCTCCTTCAAGCCCAGTAGGACAGCATGTCCAAAGTCAGCGGTCAAGTTGGGGGAAGTTCTTTGCCCAAGAGGCCATTAGCCAAGGAGAGAATGAATTCCAGAAGGAGTGACATTGGTGCCAAACATATTTTCGGAAATAGCTTGGTGCTGTCAGGAAAAATTGTGTCTCATGTCAACAGACTACTAATATTAATACTAATATTAAGACATGTAAATTCTGCAGGTCTATGACATGTTTGAAGATCAAATATCTATGTCTGACTAATCTCATAGGTATAAAAACATGGGTGATAATAATCTGTAATTCTCAGAAACATAGTTGTACAATGGATGAAGCTTCCAAAATAATTTAGCAAGGACAAGGACTTCAAAATATGTCACTACATAGATATAGATATAGATATAGATATAAATATAGATGTAGATATAGAGATAGAGATATCAATAACGATATAACTGAAATTTATTGACTAGAGTTAGAACTGTAAAGTGCAATATGATAAATTATCTTAAGTTGTATCAATATACAAAATGTCTATACATCAAGATAGTTTTATATTTGTGTGCAAAACATCATAAACAGAAAGAAGACCCTAAACAGTTAACATACAAGAATCTAACAATTTAAGTTATCAAGGATCTAACAATTTGTTATCTATAGCTAACATTTGATAAAGTTAGTTCACTAGAAAATATGTAACTCTACCTATAATCCATCTTAACCATCCATACCCTAAACTTATCTAAAAGACATACCCAAGTCTGAACATCACCTTCCATACCCAACCCTAAGCAACTAAAAACCAATCCTATGAAGGTGAATATTATCCCTTAATGCCAACAGTAGGGAAAGGTGGTGTTGTTTTCTTAGGTTTACTTCCTGCTGAAATGGGACAAGGATGATTCCATGGGATACTGTAGGGAAAAAAAATAGAGCAACAAAAAGTTTCAAGAGGACTAGACGTCACATTTGTAACTAGTCTCTGTGTGGCAGGAGATGCTTGACTGAAATTCTTATCTGACCAGGATGTAATAAGAAGGTGCACCATTTCAGTTACCTAGTCTGGAGTTGTCTCAATCCTTAGTCCCAGACTGATTTTAGGGTGGTTCAGAGGCATCAAGTTGAATCAGTTGGGATCGATGAAGTGGGTCCCCATCTTCTTTCCTTAGAGTTCAAAGATTACTGTTAGGATTTTTTTTTGTTTGGTGTGGAAGATTAAACATTAATATCAGCACAGACAGTTTAACTTCCATAGGTAAACATACGGGGAAAGGTAACAATAAGGATAAAATTAAGAATGAGGAAAATTAGGGTTCTGAGGATATAGTTGATTATGGCAGAGAAAAGATAGATGCATGAGTTGAGGTAACTGGCTTCAAATATCCCTAGTGCTTATACTTTCTCCTTCCTTGCTCTCCCATTATATTACCAACACTCCCCCCTCCAGCTAAAATCTCACCCTCGTTTGTCCCAATTTCTCCTTTATAACACCTGTATCCTACTGCCACTCTCTCTAGAGCTCTTTCTCTCCTATGTATCCATTTTCCATTTTCATTCCTGACGTTTTCAGTTACTTCAGGTTGCATATTCCATCTCAAGATTCAGAGCTAGAATACACAAATGAGAGAGCATGTGGCATTTGTCTGTCTGGGTTTTGGTTACATCACTCATTTTTACTATCACAGGAATTGTACTCTATTGATTTGTAAGAATGTTATATATTCCTTATTTAATAAATAATAACACACAAAATTATTATTCTTTTACACAAATAGTAACTTACAATTTTTCTATACAATTACCTAGTGAAGCCTATATTGTTTAATGACACATTCAATCCTTAAATTGCTCAGCATTTAGCAATCATTTTTATATAACATTCTTTTTCCTCAGTTTTCTCAATCCAAATGCAGTATAATGGCAAAACAATGTAATTTTACAGAAAAAAATATTTGAGACTTCTCACAGATTGTTTTGTTCCAAATACAATGCTCTATGTCCAGGATAAAGTTGTAATTATATCCACAATGTGTCTTATGTTCATTTTAACTCTTCTATTATGGCTGTGGTTTAGATCATGGCTCACATGCTTCAACCACTAAACTATCACCAAGTACATTTGTCTGTCTCCAACTCTCCCATTTACTTCCTTGCTTCATTGTATGCTGTATCATAAAACTCTTCCTATAATGTTGTCATACTACAATTTAAATGCTCAAAGCCTTCCCATGTCGCCAATTTTAATTTTCAGAAATTTATATATCATATTAAGAAATATCATTGAATCATTTTCTCTGTGTATTAAATCCCACACCCTATTTATATCTATTCCCATTTCCACAATGTTCTTGATCTAATTTATCCTTTTTGTTCATATATTGTCAGTCTGTTATCTGTATTTGTTCTTTAATCTTCTCTCTGATTTAATACTTTTGCTCATTTTATACTCTCAGAAATTCTGTAGCACTTGTTGTTTGTACTCTGCTCCTGACTCTTAGATTCAACAGGCTTGGAGTATATGCGTGCTATCCTGTGGCTTTAATTAGTGCTTAAGTCTTTGTATGCAGGAGCCATATCAAATTCCACTTAAAAACATCTTTTATTGTCACAGTGCAATGTTCAGAGTAAGCTCTTAATATTTTAATTGCTGACTGACATGAAAAACCACTAAACAAATGTTGAACAAGTCAATAAACTAATTATTTCTCCATCCTCTAAACACGCAACAGCATACATATGTTTATAAGACACTTAACACAATGTGAAAACAAGCTCAAACAATCTTCCCAGTCTACTTTCTTGGCAAAAAAAACAGAGCTTGTAATTACTTCCAGGTACTCCATCACAATTTTCTGTACCCCAAACTGGAGCTCATCCACCTATTTTCCCAATCTCCTGCTTGTTCTCTCAGAGAAAGAATTTCCATCAATGCCATGTTTTCAACCAAGCTCTTGGCAAAAATTTCCAGTTTGACCCAATTTTACTGCTACTTCCCCTTGAGGTCTGGGTCTGCCTTGTCTGCTTCTGATTGTTCCCACATGCAGTATACTAAACACTCCTACAAGGGAATGGTGCCCAGTTTCCCAAGAGTCAGTCCTTGTCACCACCACTTCTGTCATATGCCTAAGCCTTTTGGAACTCAGCCACAGTTTGGCACAAATTGTGATTCATTCCCCATGCCTTCATGGGTCAAATTTGTTACTTGAAATTTAGAAAGAAAAATGAAAGGAATTATAAGCCAGCTTTCTTGAAATCATCAAATCTTGTTTCTACTACATACTGTGGTTTCTGGCTTTGTTCATAGAATGCAGTTCTGGCAATGTTAGCAATGCACATTTGCCTTTATCCAACATTTGCTTTATTCAGTACTGTTTAGACAGCTTTGGAGATGTAGTTTTATTTCTTCCAATGCTACTGCAACTGTCTATTTTTTTCATACTCATCTCATAGTGGAACATTATGAAGTGTCCAAAACTTAAAATGCTGAAAAGCCAACATCATGTTATTTATTCACTAGGGTCTTTCCCCTACAAAGTCTTAATTCCACAAATAGCATCTGTGTAAAAGCATATAAACTGGCTTTTAATTTCTAGTGGGTGGTAAAAAAGACCAACATCTGCCTTCCATAGCAGGTTGCCTACATAGTTCTGCATAGTTTTATATTATCCCAGAAACGATATATATATGAGCGAGAGAGCATTCACTCATTCTGGTTTCAATGTTTAGGAACATATTTTTCTGCAAAAGATTGTATTACTTTTTTTCAGATGGTCACAGTAAGAAAATTGTCCATGTCCATGGATCTCCTGTGATATTTTATATTATTATTATATTTCCATAATTTCTATTGTGTTACAGATATATAAAAAGTGGTTATTCATATGTTAGAAAAGTAAAAATATATGGCTTACTTTATTTGTCTTACATAAAACAATAATAATCTTTCCAAATACTTATAATGTATGATAGAAATAATCTAAAGAAACATGCAAATAACACCCAAATAACTGTTCCAAAATATCTAAATCAAATAAAATAAAATGAAATTAAGGTAGTATGTGTGCTGAAGCTCAAATGAGATCAGTAATTTTCAAAGAGTTATTAAAACACTGTTCACTGTAGCATCAAATCTGCCCGAAGGAATGGCTCTCTTGAACTTTATTTTAATATTATTTGCTTAGATGGATTATTTTAAAATAATTCTTTTTTCTTTTTACCCAAACATCTTTAACACATCTGTATTACAGTTTTCTAGAAGAATAGAACTTACAGAATATATAGCCATTTAAATATGATTGTTTTTAATTTAAATAAAAAATGATTTAAAAAAAGAAATAATAATATTGGGTAGGATAAGTAATATGTTCATCATTGATGTAGGATGCCCTTCTGTGCACTGCAAATATGTGTTGCCTTTGTTGGTTGATGAATAAAGCAAGCTATTTTAGCCTATGGCAGGGCAGAATATAGCTAGGTGGAAAATCCAAGCAGAGATGCAGGGAGAAAGAAGGTGGAGTTGCTGGATGATGCCAGTAGTCACCAAGGAAACAAGACATGTAGAAAATGAGGTAATGCCATGACCACATGGCAATATATAGATGAATATATGGGATAATTTAAATAATTTTTAAAAAGTTTTTCTTTATTCTTGAGAATGTCATACAGTTGTGCAAAGAAATATGTCTAACCCATTTACCACCTCCAACTTCTCCCATTTTCTCTGACACATTCCTCTGCAAACTTCATGGCCTTTTCTTTTATAACAAAGTTCAGCCTGTACCATTCATAGGGACTTGGGTATGGAGCTATCCACTGAAGCATGGGAATCTACTGGGGGTGATATACTCCAAAAATAAGTGATCACTGCTTCCCCAGAAATTAGGCCCTGCTAAAATTTCCTCAATGAGTAGTGAGCCCTGAAGATCATCTACAACATTTACATCAGAATTTTGGCTGACTTGTTCTTGTGTAGGTCTTGTGCAAGTGCCACTGCATCTGTGAAGTCATGAATACCATAATCATGTCATGTTCAGAAGGCAGCATTTCAGAGAATTGCTCCAAATCCTCTGCCTTGAGTCTTCTTCCACAATGTTCCATGAACCTTCAAAGGCAAGCTAATGCAGGTGTTCCATTTATAGCATAACCCACAAACCTTGATTCTCAGTACTCTGACTAGTAATATATATCTCCAATGGCTGGTACCAACTACAAAAGGAAGATTCTCTGACTAAAGCTGAAATAATTCCAAGTATATAGGTATAAACATACATTTTAGAAGTCAAACTTAAATAGAAACAGATACCCACACCTAAAACTGAACTAAACTGGAATCCAGGTGCAGAGAAGGAAGAGTGATGAGCAAAGGGGTCAAGACCATGCTGGTGAAACCCACAGAAACAGCTGACCAAAACAAGAGGGAGCTCTAGGGCCCCAGACTGATCACTGGGAAACCAGCATGGAACTGATCCAGACCCCATAAATGTGGGTGTCAGTGAAGAGGCCTCAGGAATGAGAGGGGCTGCTTGTAGTAGATCAGTACTTATCCCTGGATTACTAGCCTAGGAATGGACTTTAGGATCCCATTTCACATAGAGGGATACTCCCTCAGCCTAGACACACTGGGGTGGGCCTAGGCCCTATCCCAAAGTATATAACAGACTCTGGAGACCCCCCCCCCATGGAAGGCCTCACTCTCCCTGGGGAGCAGAAATGGTACTGGATAGATAGGGTGTTAGTGGGGAGCAGGGGCCGGGAAGGGGGCGGGAGGAGAGGGAATGGGGATTGACGTGTTAAACAATCTTGTTTCTAATTTAAATTTTAAAAATTAAAAAAATAAAAATAAAAAGAAGTCAAACTGAAAAGGCTATTTAGCAAAATAGCAAAAGTATGTTCTACCCTAGGGATGAAGATTTCCAGAGATATTGCATAATTGTATATTTAACGACAATTGTAGCAGCAGGCATGGAAATTACAACCATACCACTACTGAAATGGTGGGTACACCTGACTTGGCAGATCAGTATTGCAAGATGCATGGTCCAGTGCTAGGTAAAAACATGCTTGACTTTTCTTCTCAAGCAGTCTGCATACCATCTTGAGGCAGCATGAAAGCTAGTCAGTAGTAGACATTTTCAGGTCATTTTAAGATTGTTTTTTGTACATTCTATAGCCAAAGGCTGATATGTCTTCAGCAATATGGTCTTTCTATACAATTATGATGGGTAATCAAAGATAATAGAAAGGTATCTTATTTACAATATTTTTGGAATCTCTCTCACCAGTAACTCACAGGGAAATGGCCCATTTCTTTGTACATTTCACATTACCTGCTTTAATCAATTTAAAATTCCTAAGAAGGTGTACACAATTATAGATATATGTAATATTCAGAATGCATGAAAAGGCAGAAAGAAAATATCATTTGCTAGGAACTTATTAGAATGGAAAATGGAAGTGTAGCTAATGGCTGAGTTCCACTTTGCTGGAGATTGAAATACTTCTATAACTGAGAAGAGTATTTATATAAGATGTGGATGAATAATGCTTGCATAATGTTCAATTTAAATAGATTAATCTAGATGCCCCAGATGTTGTACTGGACATGCTCAGTAGTCATGAGGACTTCAGTTTGAACCCAAGCACTACCAAATAATATTTACTTTCACTCAAACATATTACAACTAATAAAGGTGATTTTGAAGTATTTAAAAATCTGTGTGCTTAGGATTTTTTCCTATATAAAGGAAACTGAAGTTAAATTACAATCATAGAGAAAATAGTTGCAAATCATAATCCCTATTCTCTTTAATTCCCCAATTGTATTTTTCCCTAATGCCAATCATCCTATCAGTAATCTTCCTTCTAATTCTAAGAAAATTTTACCCTGTGTTTATTTTTAAAGCATATTTCTAAAATCAAGTATTTTAATCATTACTCCCTTTCCATTAATTATGTTTTTCCTAGAACATGTTCCCTTAAAATATCTTTATTTTATAATCAAAGCTTGTTGCCACAATGCATAGAAGAAAAGTAGTCCCAAAAGAAAACACATTTAGAAGCTCATTCAGAACTTCACTGAAATGTGCCTTTAATAAAATTAACAGAAAACAAGATAAAGATTTTTCTCCCTTCCCAACAAAAGATGTCTGTAACTCTGCTATTATGGAGACCACAGCATAGTTAAAAGATATGAGTGTGTGTCATTGTAATCAAGGAATCATACTGTCAATCAGTCCGAAGTGTATCTTAACACTAGATTATAATTAAGCTGAAATGTAAAGAACTCTTTGGTCTAATCAATTATATTATAACCTGACTGCCTGAGATAATAGCCCATCAACAGAAAGATAATCTTTGTACCATTTTGAAAAAGAGAGAGAGACAGAGGCAAAGGGTTAGATGTCTACCAGCCGCAGTCACTACTAGAGATGCAGACAAATATGCACAGAACAAGCAGTAATTGAAGCATGCTTATTTAATAAAATTTTCTACAAGCCACTGTCTTTGCTCTCATTCTGTTTTCATCAGCCTTTTGTCTTCTGGAGTAAATCAACTAGCACACAGCTTTTTTTCATTTCATAAACTTTAAGTTTCATCAAGATCATTTTAAGTTTTAAAAAGTAAGGTTGGAAATTAAATTCCAGGCTCCTAGGAGGAAGTATATTCCAATGGTTAAAGGAATTCATTTGTTCATAATATCAAGATATATTTTTTTCTTTCTTGAGACAGGGTGATAGTGTGTAGCCTAGCCTGGCTTTGGATTCTGTAATTGTCCTCCCTCTGTCTCCCATTGGGTGGGATTGCAAACTTATAATACCGCGTCCAGCTTATTTCAAGATCTTTGAATTCTTTAACCAATACTAGAACCTACTAAGTGCAGGAAAATTAAAGGTCTTCCATAGATACTGATTAAATTGATATGTTTGGTTAGTACTATTCATGGGAATTAATCCTTCATTTCTACATTCCCTTTTGAGACTTTGAAGATGTCAACTCATATAGTAGGGTTTCATTTCCTCAAGCAAAAAGTTCTGCCCTACATGTCTTAATAAAATGGTTCAGGTAAGCTGTGATGATGGTAGTATGAAAAATGTTACTTAATGTTATTACTGATAATGCCTTAAGTGTGTATGATAATATTTGTATTCACATTGGAAGATATAAACTGGTAAAAAGACACCATATGAAAAGGTCCAATTCACAACTTATTGCAATATTAGTATAACCCTTTGAAAATAGTACTGTTTATCATGTCTCATATCATCACTATTAAGCATGCATAGAGATGCAACAAATGCATTAAGAGAAATCTCACCTGGGTAACAAAAAGTTACAACAACATAACTATTATTGCTACTAAGGGGAAATGAGTTTTTGACCACCTTCTCACTGCCTACTACAGACCCTTCTCAAAGTTATTTTAGACTAAATAAAAAAAATTTCCTTTTATATATTGTCATCAGTCAGTATTCAAAGTGTAATTCTTCCTCCATATTCATGGCAAAATATCAATGAAATAATATATGAAATGTGCTCAACAAAATATTAATCATGTATCAACTTCTCTACAATTTTTATCCACTAATAGTTTCAATTTATGTAATACTCACAATTACTTTCTAAAGATGTAGCCACTTGAAAAATTAAGAATTACAAAGAATCATTATTTTTTTAATATCAGATAGTCAGTAAGTAGCAAAGTCAAGATTAAATTACATGTCTGTTTGACTTTTTCACAATTTTCTTTTCTATTGACTTTCTCTTTAAAATGAAAGTGGCATTATGTCGTTCACACTAAAATAGTATTATTAGTTCAGTACTCAGTCACGAAAATTTTCATTTTTGAACCTTTAATGCACCCACCAAACATGTCCCTTCCAAATTTAATTTGACTCATATTTTAAGATGAACTGCACATAGATATTCATCTATTTAAGGATGTGAGTTTTGAAACATATAGTTTAGCGTTCAGTTAATCTCTTAAGAATTAACCAAAACTTTTCCAAAATAAGCTGGAGTATTTTAACTTTTAGAGGCAATATATAAGGTTGCACTTTTTCTCCACATTCTTGAACATACTGGTGTTTCCAGTGTGCGATTGCTATCAGTGTTCACTTGCTTTACTTTGTTCATTCTAGTTTGTGTGACAAGATATTTCATTTTGTTGAGGCTTTCTTGTATTTTTCTAGTAAGTTATGATAAACGTATTTTCATTTTTAATTGCTATAATCTTTATTATAATTCCTATTTATTTTGCTTATTTTTATATTGAAGCATTTACTCTAATTTATTTAGAGTTAAGGAATCATTTTAACTTTTAGGCACATGTCCTTTACAGGATATGTTTTGACAATATTTTCATACAATTTTTGACATATCTATTATGGTTTAACATTGTTTTTCAAGTCATGCATTTTGCATCTTGATTCCATTCAACTTTTCGAGTTTTAATTTTTATGATTTGTATTTGGGGCCTTAGTGGTGAACCAACTACGATTGCTAATAATTTGCTAAATGAACATAGTTTCCAAATGACCAGATTTCAGGAGCACATTCCCCATGGAGGGATACTCTCTTAGCCTAGGCCCTGCCCCAAATGACCTGACAGACTTTAATGATCCCCCATGGAAGGCTTCACCCCCTGGGGTGGAGGATAGGATGAGGAGGGTCAGTCGGGGGTATGGGGCAATGAGAGGGAGAGGGAACTGGGATTGATATGTAAAATAAGATTGTTTGTAATTTAAGTAAAATTTATTAAAAAAAATACTTTTAGCCTATGGGGAAACAAGTAGATTTGCATTATTAGTATACATTGGAACAATACAATGTGAATAAAGAAATTTCAAAAAATGATGATAAAGAAATTATCATGCAATGAAACATAGATATTAATAAAAGATAGAGCAATAATTTTTAAAACATGATTATATGACCTAACTGAGTAGAAATACAAGTGTGTGGATCATTAGAACACACAATTTGATTTTAATATATGAAGAAGACCAGTTCATTCAAATGAAGTGGTTGATGGCTGTAAACTTAAAACTTTGTACTGATTTTAATGTATCCAGCTGGTTTGATAAGCTGTCTTACATTTTCATTTTTGTCATAATAGTTACGAATTAGTTCTTAATTTCTTCCATGATCAGGTGATTTCTGTCGCGTCTATCTTGACCAGCAAGAGAAACACAACCACGACTCTTCTTCAAATAGTTTATTCAGGAATCTTGTACATTAGCTTCTCCCTTCTCCCAGCCCCCGAAAGCCCTTAAGTAGATGCTCAGTGCCCAATCAGCTCATGCCATCTGGCAATCCTGGATAGGCCACAGAAGGAGGAAGCGTGCCAGATGCCTCAAGCACTTCCAAATAAGGT